AAGTATACTTATACTGTCGTATAATCGTAGTTATTATTATTATAAAATAAATTGACTGCAATTAATATTTCTCATAATTAAGTGTCACACATTAACTTGGGGGATTCAAACGGTGAGTGTCCTTCACAAATTGGAGCTATGTATATAGTGTAATGTTGCAATGAATTGGTGTGCAGGATCTTCAGGATAGAGTGGAAAAGGCCAAAGATTGCAGTGATGAGATGATACAAACCAGGAAGGAGGTTGTCGATTTCCATGGGGAGATGGTTCTTATGGAAAACTACAGTGCTCTTAACTACACAGGTGACCGAGATTTCTTTTCTTTGTATGATCATAACTGTCACAGTTCTATTCTAATCTATGTTGTTATAATATTAACAACACAGGGCTAGCAAAGATACTCAAGAAGTACGACAAAAGGACTGGCACCCTCCTTCGCCTGCCCTTCATTCAGAAAGTGCTACAACAGCCTTTCTTCACCACTGACTTGCTTTACAAGCTTGTGAAGGAGTGTGAGATACTGATTGATCGCCTTTTCTCTTTGAACGAAGCCGCATTGGAAACTGATGTTAGGAATGAACCCTCCTCCTCAATCAGTGGAACCACGGCCAAAAGTGACTGTCTGTTCAGAGGTGGAGGGTCAAAGGAGCTCGCAGAGATAGAGTATATAGAGAGCTTGTACATGAAGAGCACCTTATCTGCATTGCGGGCTCTGAAAGAAATTCGAAGTCGAAGCTCAACCGTGAGTGTTTATTCATTGCCACCCCTGCAAATTAATGGAGTTGATGATACATGTTGGAATAAAGTTCCAATCTTGGAACAAGAAGCAAAGTAGCCCATCTGACTATATATCATGGGTGAGGGAATAGATGGTAGTGTTAATTCCTCCACTTCGTTTTTTTGTGTGGCGAAATGCAACTGTTAAATGGTAATGAGATGCATTAGATACACTAACATGAATATAAAGGAAACTGATACTTCAATACTTTTACATCTCTGAAATCAGGTCGTGTTGTAAGAAACTAATGCAGTGTTTTTACTTTGGCTATTAGTCAGTCATGTGTATGTCTGACTTTAAGAGCATGTGTAATGATAATTGCTTAAATGGGGCGTCTTTTTCTGCTTTTCTTTAAAGCCATTTGTGTAATGACAATTGATTAAATGGAGTGGCGTACAAGTAGTTTTTTTTTGGATTAAGTAATATATATACATATCTTAAAATCTTATAATGCTCAATGGGGTTAATGCATTTTAGGGATGAAAAAAATGATGGTGTAATCTATTGCTTCATTGAGTTGCACATTAGCCTCTACCGTTTGTACATTTTGTTAATAGGCTTGTATTTCCGTTTTACCCTGGTCGCTTATCGAGACGGTGACATGGTGTTGGTCTCCTCTGAAGCTTCGGACGGCGATGTACTGGAAGAAATTAGCCGGAGACTTCTCTTCGTAGGCGCTTGCTCCCGTTGGAAATCAGAACCGCCGGATGTATCTGTGCTCTCCCAACTGCAGCAAATGGCGTTAATCCTCTACTGTGAACAGAAGCATTAGTTTCTCCCTCTTTCTTCGCACAACTGCAGCGAATGGCGTTAATCCATCCAGATTTCATCCTCTCAGCGAACACAAAATAAGGCAAGAGAAATCAACATGGGTAGCTCTTCTTCGCTGGTCTTGTTCCTTCTAAAAAAATGCAGACAGGCCAAGAGAAATAGCAGCAACCTTTTGGAGCTCTGGTTTAAAAAACGTAAAATCAACTTGGTTTAGGCATGCAAATAGTATTCTGCTATTATGTAGCACACAACGTGTTTGTCGATTTGTCTTGGTCGGAGGCTTTCTATTTTTACGGCTGCTTAACCCAATTCTGTGAAAAGAGTACATAGCGTTTAATTTGGAGAACATATGATGCAAAAGCAACCTGGTTGAGGAGGGCTTTGTTGATGCATAAGAGTATAAGACATATATTAGCTATGAAACTCCGCAAATTATACCGTGGGATCGGCCCACCATGCACATGGTGTGCCGATCCCAAAACGACATAGTTTTATCTATATTAAAATCTGGTGCCGCCGACTTAGGTATTTCAAAATTGCCAAAAGAAGATCGTGTGCTACGCCGTCTTATTGCTTCGCATCATTTCTAGTTCGACTAAAAGGGGGTTCGTTCACTACAGGAGGTGTGTCGCCATCGCAGGAGTAACTTTTCCATTAACATTTAAACCTTGCGCATCATCGAGAAACAACGGCTGGTTACATTGCTGGCAAAAGCATGAAGAATGTAGAAGTTAATTAGGAATCTACTTTATCTTTATCCATATATATACATATATATCTTATACAGTTTGGACAATTTATATTTTGATTGGCTCAATTTAGTTACATTCAAAAATATATACAGTTACATCTTTTTGTGAGCGAGTTACATCTTGTTATGCACGATTTACATCATTCATGTACTCGAATTACATATTTATTGGTGTGAGTTACATGTCATCTTTCTTCAGCAAGTTACATCTTGTTTACATGTGATTTACATTTTTCATAATCCGAGTTACACCACAATAAAATGCGAGTTACGTAACTCAATAAGCCCTTGCTATTCAAAGAAAAAATAATTTTATAAAAATCATTTTTATAGTCTTGATAATTAGAAACAAAACGTATACACAATCTATGTAATATAATTGGGCAATTAGACTCTTTTTTACACTATTTACATTGAATTCAATATTTTATATCTTATAATTCGTATTAGACAAGTTACATTTTCATTTGCCTGGAGTTACATTTCCCATCAGCATGAGTTACATTTTTTTACACGCGAGTTACATCATTTTGCTACTGGAGAATGAAAAAACAAAAAAAAAAGTTACTGTTCACCCGCGTGAATAGTAACACGCGTTTTTTGCTGCGGGAGCAGCATGCTCAAGGTGGGCTGCTGAAACTCTAAGAAGAGATATGGTGCCTTGTGAGTTGTGATATACTACGTATGTGGTGCTTCCTATTACTACTGCAAGTGTCCTAAAGCTATGTCCTACAAAAGAGGCTTTGAGATCATCACGAGATGTGGCAGAGAGGTCAATGGCATCCATTCTTGAGCAGTTGTAAAGAAATGAAATTGGTAAAGTTTTTGGCTTCTTTTCTTGAATTATTTTATTATTTGTATATAAGAAGATCAATGAGTAAATTTTCTATTCACCGATTATTTCATCTTACGACCCTCAAATAGTCAAATGCAATAATGGGCACTTTCCACTTTCCAGGTAGTAATATATTTATAGTCCTATTTTTGTATATGTGAGTGCCAGGTTTTTAGACCTTATCTCCGTTGGTTTTCACTTTTCAGCCATATTTTAACCAAAGACTAACTTATCTCACGTAGGGGTGTTTGGATCTGATTCTCAAAACTGATTCTGCTCCTTTAGGGACAGAAGCAGAAGCTGGAGTGTTTGGGTGAAATTCCAGAAGCACTTTTGGTGCTCTAATTTACTCCCAGAATCAGTTTTTTTAGAAGTTGGGGGTGACCAGCTTCTGAAAATTGATTCTGATACTGCTACTGCTTTAAAAAAGAAGCAGAAGCAGAATCAGTTCGAAACACCCCCTTAATACTTAACCAGCAGCTGAATCTTCTTACCACATAAAACAGTACCATCGAAATTACTTTTAATTGATACATCTTTAGTTAATAAATTTGGCTGATAGTGATAGGTTAACTGATACATCTTTAACAGCTGAATCTTCTTATCTCACTTTAAATTAAAGTTTTAGAGCTTATAGTGATAGGTTAGATTTTAAAGGAGCTGATTCTCTGGAATTCCTCTAGTGACGAGTTCTTGTATGATTATGCGGCTTAACACCAGTTAACACCTTTCATAAAAATCATTCAAGTGAATTTTTATGTTATTCAATCGCTCTGTCTTTTGTTGTTGTTTCTATTCTGGAGTATGATTCTCAAATGATTCATGATTTTTTAACAATCATCTTTTTAGAGGTCACGTGAGGTGATAAATAGGCATTTATTCGAGTTTTTTTTCTAAATTAATGCTAAATAAAATAATAATTACATAACTGATGTTGGGTTAATATTATTTCCCATCATACTGCTGCACAAACTCTGGTTAGGGGATGCACAACCTACGCATGAATCGTGACCAAAGGCGCATCACAAATAGGAGAAGAGGACTGTGGGACCCAATAAAATGAAAAGTCTCATTTTTCTTAAAAAGTTTTAACTTTTGTATTTTTACTCCAATTGTTATAAAAAATATACCATAATTCATAACTTTTTATTATTTTTCATATGACACCAGTATTGCATATATAAAAATAAAAATAATTTAGCACTTTAAAAATATAATGTTTTTTAAAGTATTGCAACTTTTTAATTTGCACCCCAATTGTTTTAAAAAAATATGGAGTATATCACAACTCGAAATATTTTATTATCGTTCGACACTAATATTTATAGGTAAAAATAAAAAATAATTAGGCACTTTAAGAATTGTTTTTTAGAGTGTCATACCTTTTTTGTGCTCCGATAATGTAAAAATATACTTCAGGTATATCAAAACACATACTCCGTAACTTCTTATTATCTTTCATGTGTCACTAATATTTCTTATACAAAAACAAAAAATAATTTAGCACTTTAAAAAATTTCAATTTTTAAATTGCTACTCGTATAATTCTTTTATTTGTACTCTAACGGTTAGTTTGTTACAAATAATATACGGAGTATCAAAATTCATTACTTTTTATTACATTTCATATGATACCAATATTGTACGTAAGTTTAAAAATAAAACTTTTTAATGCATTGGGCATGTTTGGCATTGGGCGAGAATGCTAAAAAGAATAAAATTGCCATTTTTGCTGAAACCTCATTATCCGAACACCCCCATTGTACTTTCAGTTAAAATGGCAATTTTTTGTAAAGTTTATGAAGCCTCATCTGTTTAAAAATTATTTAAACATGCAATATTAGTTTCATATGCCATGCAATAAAGAAAAAAGAAAATCTTAATCAAATATATGATGTTGCTTCTCTCTAGGATAAGGCAGTACCGCCGCCTAGAGTAGTTCCGATTTTTCCCTTCTTCGGTTCAGCCTTCCTTTTGGTGTGAAACGGAAGGAGGCGGTGCTGTTTTCATTAACCAAATTCGAACAAACTTTCGGATTTGTCTTTGGTTTTGGCTTTTCTCGGTTTGGCTTTTGAGACGAACGAAGTTCATTTGCAGGGGCAGTTGAGCAATCAGTTTTTCTCAAAGAGGCATATCGGCGGACGAAGTCTTCAACTATGGAAGATGTGGTAGAGCAGTATAGACGCTTGGCTTTGGAGAAAGAAAATAGTAGTTTGATTTTTGATGATGATGAGGAAGAAACTACCATTCCAAAGGCGAAGGCGGAGGAGTTTCCGGTGGTGGGAGTTATTATCACTGACCGGAAAGTCAGATTTCAGGCAGTACAGGAACTGGTTGTATCTCTCTGGAGGCCAGGAAGAGGAATGAAGGTTCAAGAAATTGAGGAAAAGAGGTATCTCTTCACTTTTAATCATAAAATTGATATGAGTCGTGTTATAGAGGATGGCCCTTGGCTATTTGAGCGAAATCTGTTACTGCTTAAGGCGGTTGGACCTAATGATATACCACATAAAATGGACTTATTTGAAGCAGAGCTCTGGGTGCAAGTGCACAATGTGCCATATAAGTTTATGAATGTTGATACTGCAAGAAGGGTGGGTAATTATATTGGGGAATTCATTAGTTTTGATGAAAGCCACTTCAAGGAGAAATGGCATTCTTACTTGAGGGTTAGGATAAAGTTGGATGTAAGAAGGCCCCTAAAAAAGGGCTCTACTTTGACTAAGGGAGGGGAAGGACATTGGGTAGATTTTAAATATGAAAAATTGCCAAGCTTCTGTTTCATTTGTGGGATTATGGGACACTCTGAGAAATTTTGCCCATTGAAATATGTGGAGGATCTCGTTTTGGAGAAAAACTTTAGTGCTGATCTTAGAGCAGGTGGTGGGGGAAAGATTAGCCCCACGAGGGGTGGTATGTGGTTGGGTGATAAGCAGGGAGGTCCGAGCCGACACTGGAGGACTCAACAAGATGAAGAAGGTACTATGAGACAGGGACGTAAGGGAAGTATAGCTGAGTCAGAGAGTAGTGGCACAAAGGAAGAGATTAGAAGCGGTGCAGGGGAGGTCACGGTGGATCAAAAGCGCAGGAGAGTCTGGAAGGAGCCGGCAGAGGAAAACAACTCAGGAAAGGAGATGGCACTGGACAGCACAAAAAACGGGGAGGAGGCGGGTCTCAACTTCTAGGCCCGCCTGATGTGTTCGTGAAGCTACAGGTGCAGAAGTTACACAATGGTGCTTATTTTGTTATTGCTTGTTTTGTTTTGTTTGATGGTCAGACTATTGTTTTTGTTTTTGTTTTTCGTTATGGTTATTTTTGTAAGACTCTTGCATTAGGCTCGGGTGATGAGTGTGCTGCAGTAACCATTGTTGGCTCAATTATGCCCAGTTTAGGATCAGCGAGTTATACTGCTTTTGTGAAGGTGGTTAACTCAGAGTCTGGCCCAAGGGCGGATGATTATTGGTGGTACTCTTGTTATTTCAGATCCTTGCTGAATGCTTTTATTCTAATATAAGCCCCCTTCATTCAAAAAAAAAATGCCATGCAATAAAGAAGTTATGTATGACTGAGTACGGATCTAGGATTTCTTGTACCGCAACGAGAATTGTCCTGAACTGTACCAGAGTCGAACGAGTTGGAAAAATAATACTACCTCTGTCCCATAATGGTTGTCTCTTTTCAATTTGGCACAATTATTAAAGAAAGTGGTTAAAAGGTAAAAGTTGTGGTTAAGATTTGAGTAGAATACGATGAAATGATATGGACCATAAATTTCTTTCCAAAAGAGAAAAATGACATTCATTTTAGAACAACCCAAAAAGAAAAGTAAGACAACCAAAATGGAACGGAATGATACTTAAGAAGCGTATCCATTCATACCGAAAATTGGTACGGGACGGGACATGTTATACTACGTACATACTATCTATATTCGAGACGGTACCGGTTCTTTAATTTTTAAAAGAATCGTACTTTGGAACGAGACAATCTTTTTTAAAATAATCATCTCATAGTGTCTAATGCTCACCCCTAAAGTTATGAATTTTGATATGTTATTTGTAACAATTAGACTACAAATTAAAAAGTTATTGCACTTTAAAATTTTAGGATTTTTATAGTGCCAAATTATGTATTTATATATGAAAGATTAGTGGCACATTAAAAGTAATAAGAACTTATGAATTTTAATATTTTTAAAGACTATCGGAGTGTAAAAAAACGTACAGAGTTTAATACTCTAAAAACGGATTTTTTAATGTGCTAAATTATATTTCTATGTTTGCCTATGAAGTATCAGTGTCTTGTGAAATATAATAAAAAAATATGAATTTTGATATATTTTTTAAAACAATCGGAGTACAAATAAAAAAATTACAGAGTATACCACTTTAAAAATAGATTTTATTAAATTGCTAAATTATTTTTTAATTTTTATGTATTCAATATTGATGTTATATGATAGATAATAAAAAATTATGAATTTTGGTATTTTTTTTATAAATGTTAAACAAAAAATAAAAATGTTATAACCATTTAAGGAATAAAGATGTTTTTTTTTTCTAAATATGGGTCCCACTTGCCTTCTCTTCCTTGGTCCTTACGAACGGCAGCTTTCAATTGAACCAAAGGTGCATGGCGTTTTTGTTTAAGTATGGTTCTAAGGAGCGGTAGTTTTGTAAATGTTTTTAACCAAACACTAATTTGGTGGTAAATAGTTTTTGCTTTAGCCTTATTTTGGTAAAAAAACTCCATTTATTCATACATGTGGCTAATTTCCTATTACCTTATGTGAGAACTTACAAGAAATCCAATAAGGTGGCTAATTACTTGGCTGCTTGATGCTATAAAGAGTCTGACCGTGTGGTTTTTATAAACTTCTATGAGCTTCTATGAGCTTATGTGTATCATATCTCTTTTTATATTATCTTTTTTTTTATCATAGCTTCCCTTTTTTACCGTTCTTATCTTTCTTTTCCCTTTTCATTGGAGTAAAGGGTCAGTTTGGTCCTCGAAGTTGCAAAAAAGGGGTCAAATAAGTCCTTATACAGAAGATTTTGTCCGGACGTGCCATTTGAGGTGGCTCCCGATAGAATTCTTTGATGAATTTTTTTGAGCATTTTATTCATTAAGTCTAGTTTACTCATACCAAATTTCAGCTAACAATTCAATCGGGGAGACATTCAAATGAATTCTTGAAGATAACTGCGCTTTTAACGGCACAGTTATCTTCAAGAATTCATTTGAATGTCTTCCCGATTGAATTTTTATTTGAAATTTGGTATGAGTAAACTAGACTTAATGAATAAGATGCTCCAAAAATTTCATCAAAAAATTCCACCGGGAGCCACCTCAAATGGCACGTCCGGTCAAAATTTTCTATATAAGGACTTATTTGACCCCTTTTTTGCAACTTCGAGGACCAAACTGACCCTTATCCCGTATCATATGTTAAGATCATTATTAACTGTCCCTGTGGATCAAGCAATGCTTTCGCTGTCATGATTCTCTCATGCTACATACAAACTGTTTTGATTATCGCAGAATTATAGTCACATTTATGTTTAGACTTTAGACTATATTTCCCTCATCATAATATAGGGGTATGTTGCATGATATTCTCTTTAAAGAGCTCTAGCAACTGTTTAAATAAATTTCTTTACTTGCAGGGTGTTGAATGTGATTCGTTTTATGTAGTTGGAAGTGGAGAATTTGAGGTCCTGGAAACAGAGGTGATTACTCATTTTTTCGCCCTTGTGGTTTCATTAACATTGTTCCATTTGCAAAGGAATCCGAGGTCATAAATAAACACATCGTTACATTTGCAAAGGAATCTGAGGTCATAAATAGCTTGTAGTCTTGGCCTCTTGGGTCAACTTTTCTGTAATCCGGTGATATTAATTTTAGGTGGAAAACCCCGGAGGAACACAAAGGGTTCCACAGATATACACCGCTGAGAAGCTATCATCCTTCGGAGAGCTGGCCTTGATGTAAGAGTTCTGTTAATGCTTTTCATTTGTTCTCCTTTATTTAACGAGACATATTGCAAAATGGCTTGACTTCTGATCTTAATTTACCCCTAAAAGCTAAGATCCCATTTGGTTGTAGTTAAACTGAAATGGCAGAATTTGTTGAATTTTTTGAAAAGAAAAGTGTTTGGTAACATTCGTTTCAGCCCAATATGTAATTCAATAACTGCTTAATTCATTTATTCTGAATAAGTACCTTTTTTCCCATGTTTAAGAAACCAGACCAGACCGGGCGAGTCGGCCCCGAAATTGGGAACCGGTACCTTACCCGGTCCGGTTACCCATTGACTTGTAAATATATCAAAAACTGGAAAAAACGACAGCCCGTTCGGACCCAAGCACAATCCAGAAGAATCCGGAAGTCAGGCAATTTAAAATTCTGTCTTGGCTGGGAATCAAACCCTTGCGTACCGAGATAAATTTCAAGAGGCATTCCAAATCACCACTGAAACTGGTTGTCATGGGGAGTCACTTAACTGTAATTATACCTTTCATATCCGTTTATGTATATAACGTTCAAATATAAGTTAAACTGCTTAGAAAATACCTTTGAGATTTTATAATAAGTGCAGTTTTTCAAAAAAAAAAATTGAAAAAAATATGCGATGTATTTAAATATTTACTGTGGAGAGAAAATCGTATGTAAATATTTTATAGATGTACATAATAAATATCAAATAATATTATTGATTTAAATAGGCCTAAAACTATATTTTAGATATGATGAATCATGAATGTGTGAATATATTTGAATATTAAATATTAAAAAATGCTTAAGTATTCTTATTCAACACTATTGAAATATTCAAAATATTTTAAAATTAAAACAAATACTCCCTCCGTCCCCTTTTAAATGTCCCGGAAGAGGGTGACACGAGTTTTAAGAAAAGTCGGTTTGTGTGGTTGATATTAATTGATAAAGTAAAAATAAAGTAAGAATGATTTTGAGCCACACAAACTTTACCAAATAAGGTTTGAGACAATTAAATAGGGACATCCCAATATGGTAAAACGGGACATTTTAAAGGGGACGGAGGGAGTATCAAATAACATTTTTGAATATATAAAAAATCCTTACTATATATTATTTATTTATCATAGTGAAGCATAAATATGTTTAACTTTATTAATATATTAATATATGTTTATTACTCTCTTCAAAAAAATTGTTTATTACTATAAAATAAAATTTTATATAAAAGTTGATCGGGTTGACCTGTGACCCGATCCGGGTCACTTCCTGGTCCAGTTTTTACAACATAGTTTTTTTTCCACTAAATGGGTTATAATCCTTGAAAATAGTACTTCCACCGTCCCAGTAAGAGTCTAAGATTGTCCCATACCAAATTTGGTAAAATTTGTGTGATTCTAAATCATTCTTACTTTATCAATTTAATATCAACCGCATAACCCGGTAACCCCACTTTTCTTAATAACCACACCACCACCACCACCTTAATGTTGGGATTGGAAAATTCTTCTATTCAATATCAAGAACAGAATTACAATAGGAGGAGCAAACTCTCACACTCAACTATTACAAAAAACCAATCCTCACCAATACACTTCTACTCTAAGTGTATTTTCACTCTTCACACACTTTTCTCACTTTGTAAACTGATACAATGAACAACAATGGAGCACTCTATTTATAGGACTAGTTTGGAGACAAGAGGAAGTTGCATCCAAGCTTCCAAAGTATCTCCATATCTCCTTCCATGTTCATGTGTTTGATAGCACCTTCCTAGAAGGTGTTATATGTCTCTTGGCAACTTCCAAGAAAGAAGGTGGAAGATACCTACAAATCTCCCCCTCCACCTTTTTCTTTATTTCTCTCATTCCTGCAATGCTCGCAGGCTCCCCCTCGCTAACAAGTATCCATTCGGATGTGGAATACTTTCTCGGTGGAACTATGCCTCGCGTAGAACGTCGAACATGAGTACCTTCAGCTTCGTCTTCAGATGAAGGCTCCCCCTGCTGAGGAATATCATCACTGTGAGTATCATCATCACCTACTGAACCATCACTCTCTTGTTCAGTAGTATCATGCATCTCCTCGTCGCTGAGAGGAATGTTTGATGATACAGGCACTTCGTCTTCTGGAGTATGTTGTTGGCGGATTATTGGAACACACCCATGAAACTCGTTTTCATGAAATACAACATCTCTGCTTCGTACAACTTTCTTCACTTCGGGATCCCACAATCGGTATCCCAATTCTTCATCACCATACCGGATGAAGATGCATGGGTTTGACTTGAGATCAAGCTTCTGTCTCAACTCCTTGGACACATGTGCAAATGCCTTGCACCCGAACACTTTCAAGTGAGAGTAAGAAACATCTCTTCCTGACCATTTCTTCTCTGGCACTTCAAAGTTTAAAGGAACAGATGGTGACCTGTTTATAAGATAACAAGCTGTCAGCACAGCTTCACCCCAGAATGGCTTAGATAGTTTAGCCATACTCAGCATGCAACGAACTTTCTCCATAATGGTCCGATTCATTCTTTCGGCTACACCATTGTGTTGCGGAGTTCGTGGAACCGTCTTCTCATGTCTGATTCCATATGCGGCGCAATATGCTGAGAACTCTCGGGAAGTGTACTCTCCTCCATTGTCTGAACGTAGACACTTCAGCTTCTTCCCTGTTTCTGTTTCTACTATGGCATGAAATAATCTGAAGCGATCAAACACTTGATCCTTACTCTTCAAACAATAAGCCCATACCTTTCGTGATGCATCATCAATGAATGTCACGAAATATCTGCTTCCTCCAAGTGACTCCTCTTCAATGGGTCCGCATACATCAGAGTGTACAAGACTGAGTAACTCTGAATGGTTCTTCCTGGTAGAACTGAAGGAAACCCTGTGTTGTTTCCCGAATAGACAGTGCTCGCATGGATCTAAGGCAACACCTTTGCCCATGGAAATCCTTTCCTTCCTAGCAAGAGTTGTCAATCCCTTCACGCTTAAGTGGCCTAACCTCCGGTGCCACAAGTTTGGTGATATCTCTTCTTCAACAGCATTGAGACTCGGATGACACAACTTTGCATGAGTTTTATACAGAGTACCACAAATATGGCCTCTTGCAACAACCAAGGAACCTTTAGATAACTTCCACGTACCTTCTTTGAATCTGTTAAGATATCCTTGTGATATCATGTTAATTAGACGACCTCAAAATCTTCTAAGGACTCTATGTATTGGAAATTGTTGTATATGACTTGGCCAAAAAATTCAGAATAAAAATGTGAAGTACGACGAGTGTTCTCATATTTATTCTTATTATATTTTGACCTTTATATGTAGGTTGATGTATTTTATTCTACTCTCACAGAAGCAACAGAATGGAGCTCACATACACACCTCACAATATATTCTCTAATAATGGAAGTCAATTTGAATACAAAAAGGAGAAGTAACAAAGGTTAAGTCAGGCCGGTGAATCGAGCTGAAGATATAACTGAGTTGTAGATTGACAGCTCGTTTGGTAGCAAAAAAATTGGTTGATTTGGCTGAAATTTATGAAGTTCTGGCTGAATTGGCCGATTCTGCTGATTTAAGGGGAAACATATTAAAATATATTTTATTAATAAAATAAAGAAAAAATATATACAAATAGCCAAAATGGTCATCTATAGTAAGTTCAACCAATCCAGCCACAAAAATAACTTCAACCTTACTTTTTCTGCTTATTACACAACTCAGCGCGCAAAAGTAAAAGTTGCGTGTTTGGTGAAAAAGTTGGTTGATAAGTCTCATAAGCCGAAAAACATGTTGTCAAACGGCCTCTCGGTGTTAGCCAAAATAATGACACAATTATTACCTATCACCTTTCATTAGACCAAAATATGACTGAAATGGTCTTAGACAAAAAACTGATCCGGATTTCACGTTTCCATTTTTTTCTTCTGCACCTTTTTCTTCTGCGCTCTAAGACCGAAGAAGCTCCACCATGCTCATCGCCGAAGACCATCCACCACGTTTCCGCCGCCACAAGCAACCATCTCCCCAGGCCATCTCCATCGCAGAGAGCTTCTCGGCAATAAACTAACTTCGCCGGCAGACCTGCCTTGCGGCAATGAAGAAGTCGATCCGTCTCTCATTGCACCAGTTCGTCTTTCTTCTTCGCATCTGCTCTATCGTAGTCGGCATCATCGTCCATGATTACTAGATTTTCAAATTGTAAAATTGAACTCCCAAATCACCACAAAACCCTATATCTGAAGTTGGGGGCATAGTGTGATGTTGGGGCAGGGTGCAATGTTGGGGCAAAATTGAGTTGAAAGGGATTGAGGCTGAGGGTCTGAGGTGGCGCTGGCGGCGACCGGCAAGGCATGGGAAAGGCTAGTAGGCCTAGGGACGGTGCTAGGACTTCAGGGAGAGGGGCGGGGCTGGAAAGGTAGGGCAAGTGGGACAAGGGTAAAACAGAGGTTGTGCAGGCAGTGACCGGGGGTGGTGACAGGGGCGGCAGCGCAGTGAGTCGCCGGAAAAGGCCGCCGGAAAATTTTTCGACGGTCATAATGACATGTTTCACGGCTTCGGGTGTCACTGTGGCAGCATCACTGTAGCGGCGTCACTATGGTCGGCCGGTGACCAGCGGCGGCGACAATGGCATGAGCAATACCGAGTGACACGCGACAGTGACATGAAAATGACAGCGTCACTATAACGGTGTCACTATGGCAGTGATGGTGGCGGTGTAATTGGCGTGAAAAAAATTAGACGGTGCCGACTCTTAGTTAAAAAAACGAACACAGTGACATGAAGTTTTTACAGTGACATCATGTTTTCTAAATCCATATATATGACCTTCTTGATCACTTTTTTGCCCCTTTTTAAAAGTGATCACTTTTTTGGTAATTGGTTCAAAATTAGTAATATTCAAGTAGAAACCCCTTTAATCAGCAGGCAGGTACTTTACTGAAACATTTAGTCATGTTGTTAAACTCACTACTGTTCGTCTTGTCCTTACCTTAGCCGTGTCTTTTGATTGGCCCATTCGCCAACTTGATGTTCAAAATGCTTTTCTTCATGGTAATTTGACCGAGGAAGTATATATGCGTCAGCCTCCAGGTTTTGTTCATCCTTAGTTTCCCCACCATCTGTGTCGGCTTCGTAAAGTCATTTATGGTCTTAAACAAGCACCTCGTGCTTGGTTTAACCGTTTTGGTAGTTTTCTTCTCTCTCATGGTTTTACTTGCAGACGGTCTGATAATTCTTTATTTATTTTTTGGCGTAATTCTGATATTATTTACCTGCTACTATATGTTGATGATATCATTGTTACAGGTAATTCTCTTAAACTAGTTACTCATTTTTTATCTCTCCTGAATAAATGTTTTTCCATGAAGGACTTAAGTGATTTACATTATTTCCTTGGCATTCATGTTTCTCGTACTCCTTATGGTCTGTTTCTATCTCAGCAAAAATATATATTTGATCTTCTTCATCATTTTCATTTACATACTTTTAAACCTGTGCGCTAACCTCTTCCTAGTCGTACTAAACTTTCCCTTACTGATGGAGAGCTCCTGGATGATGCCACAGAGTACAGACGTATGGTAGGTGCATTACAGTATTTGACTTTGACTCGACCAGATATTACTTTTGTTGTACACCTGGTTTCTCAGTTTATGCATGCTCCACGCACTTCACATATGTTGGCTGTTAAGCGTATTTTCAGGTATCTCTGGGGCACATCCACTCATGGTCTCCTCTTACAGTCTTCACGTGGCTCTACCGAGATCATTGCTTATTCTGATGCTGATTGGGTTGGATGTCCTGACACAGAAGCAGCCTACTGTCTCTCGCTCTTCCACAGAAGCTGAATACCAAGCCATAGCTTACACAGTTCACGATACTCTTCACATACGATCAGTGTTGTTCGAATTGGGATTTCCTGTTCGCGTTCCGACTACTCTGTACTGTGATAATGTATCTGCTTCATATCTGTCTGTTAATCTCGTCCAGCATGCCAGGAGTAAACATATTAATATTGACTACCATTTTGTTCGTGAACGAGTTGCTCGTGGTGATCTTCGGATTAAGTATGTTCCTACACAGGCTCAGCTAGCAGATATTTTTACTAAGTGTTTGTCCCCACAACGTTTCACTCTTCTTCGTGACAATATGCGCATTGTTTCCCCTGCACAGCTTGAGGGAGTGTAATAGAGTAGATTTATTATTATTTATTATTGTAGAACTCATATTGTAATATTGAACTCTTTCTATTATAAATATATCTGTCAGGGTTACCATTAAGGTTAAACCTGATATTATTTTCCACAGTGGTCATGAAGGGAGTGTTGTTTGGTCATGTCGTTTGTTTGTTGAAGTTATTGGGCTGTGCTGCACTGCTGCCTGTGCAGCTGTACGTCGTGTACGATAACATTTTTTAAATTTCCGTAGTAATTTTTTTTCTTTTTTAAGCTTTTAGGGTGGTAATATGGCCCACACAAAATTAATTTAAAAACAAAACCTTTTTAAATTATTATCTAGTACTCGTACCTTCAAAAATAAAATCTACTCGCAAGACGTATGCTACTATGCTATATACGGGCTCTGATCTGGTCATTGATCAAATTTTATTAATTAATTCATACAAATCTAATTTATGTAGTGGTTTTGACTTAAATATATGAGAAAATAATCCTAAATAGATTTAAATTCGTCCTACAAAACCACTATAGATTTAAAAAATAGATTTTTCTTAAATTTAAATACAATTTTTATTTTGTTTTTATAGTAAATTGAAATATGGTTACTTTATTTAGGGTAGGGCTATAATAGGAAAATAGAGTATACTTTAATCCTACTTTAACCCCACTTTATACGTATCCATTCAGTCAATTCAATTTTTGCTGCAATCCAGCACTGTCAATATATTCACACAACAAAGTTTTTTAAAATTAAAATTTTAGTTTTATTGTTATAAATCAATAGTTGTTGCAATATTTTGTTGTGAATAATTGTGATTTGAAAAAATCAAACATTACGATGTAAAAAATAAATAAATTTGGAAAGTAAACTTTTAATGATTATTTCAGACCTATTTTTTAAAGAAAAATAATTGAATGATATAAAAATATAGTTTAACCTTGAGATCTTAATTTGAACACTTAGAATCTATTTAAGAAAAAATTAGGTATAAAAATCTCTAGCAATTGGAATTTAATATATTTTTTTTCAACTTTATATATTCAATATTCATGTCAAATGAAAGAAAATAAAAAGTTATGAATTTTGATATATTTTTTGTAAAAATTGGAATGCAAATAAAATTGGGATATAATTTAACATGGATCCATGAATTCATTTCCATACACTCAACAAGCTTTAGATCTAACTGCTTGGTCATTTATTCCGTGAATAAGGCTCTACATTTCCACTCAACGTGGGCTCTCAATCCACTTTAGCTCCTTGGTATACTATGGGTTGTAGCTGTTTTTTGGGTGAAAAGGTCAAAAATAGCTTTTTCACTCCGGGATTGCAATCAGCCTAATGTTGCATTATATAAATTAAATAACTACGACCCGCTAATACCTACTCCGTGATTATTTAATAATAATTGCTCTAAGAGTTGGGGCACTCAACTTTAAATACCACACTACATCAGCCAATTGATCGAAGAGAGAAAGATTTGAAGTAGGAAAACATGAGTGAAAAAGTAGTATATATCCTTGCTCTCTTCATTGCCATCTTCTTGGCCACATCTAAAGAAGCAGCTTCAAGAGATGTTTCAACAGAGCCTCACATTGACACGTCTTTCCATACCAATGCCAACCACCAGCAACAGCAGGTAAGAAAATAAGAAATCGAGAAGAACGGGAGAAGAGGGTGCTACTAGAAATTCAATTTGGTTTTGATGTTTTTGTTGAAATGAATGAATTTCAGATTGGGGCGAGCAAATGTTCATACACAGTGAGTATAAAAACAAGTTGTTCCTCAGTCAAGTACACCAGAGATAAAATCAGCCTTTCATTTGGTGATGCTTACAGCATTGAGGTGATGATCCAAGTCTACCTGCTACCTTCTCCATTATTCATTCATTCAATTGGTCAATCCTAAACATGAAACCAATTAATCTGCAGATTATACTCCGTATATAGATATACACCAATCCAGAGATTTATTTATATGTTGGTTTTTATCCTTTATTATTATTATTATCATTATAAATTAGTACAGTGTGCATGTAATGATTTATTTATCATTAACTAACGTACGGGTCTAGGCGTCTAGCTAATTACCGTTGTTAAACGTGCATACAAAATGTGGACGGGTGCAGGTGTATGCACCAAGACTGGATGATCCACAGTCTAAGACATTCGAGAGATGCTCAAAGGACACATTCGAGATAGAGGGACCTTGCATGTATGACATCTGCTATCTCTATCTGTACCGGGATGGAACGGACGGCTGGAAACCTGAGACTGTCACGGTATCCAGTCCGAAGCACAGGTCTATTACCTTTAAATACAACCGATTTGTGCCCCGCGGAGTGTGGTATGGTTTTAATGAGTGTAACAGTGTGTCTACTGTGGCTTGAAATGAAGGAGAGAACAAAGAGAGCTGAGGACTAGTATATTTTCACAATAATGATACCATGAGCATGCATAGTAATTAGGGAAACTAAGAACGTGAAAACACATTTGAGTATGTGTTGTCTTCCTACTGCTATTAAAGGACATGCAATGATAAATTTTCACACTTCTTTCTCTGCTACAGTCATTATGTATCCTTATTTTTATAGTACGGAGTATTAATAAGGAAATGAGTTTGCATTTGCACGTCTTAAGGGGGGGGATATATAGTACTGAATGTGCAAGGGAATAATCCATCCCCACATGGCCACATACAATTCATTCATTAATCATTTCAAAATGAACGAATGACAAGCCAGACTTAATTTCTCCAGCACACGCGCACCAGCCATCCACTGCATTATATTTGTGCTTCAAACAATATTGGCATGTTTGGCGGTACACAGAGCACTCTATATATATCTAGCCATTCCAAACTTAATTTCCATTCATTCATCAAATGTGCTCATATATCCACCGATAAAGCCAGCTCCGTTGCAGTTGCCGCATAGAATCTCCTTCTTACCTCTGCAAGGAATTAAAAACAAATCTCAAAACTCACATGGCAATGACAATGGCAATGGCAATCCATTATTGTTTCCACTCTATTGCACCATAAATAAGAAGAGAAAAAACACCAATAAACGTGTGTCTGTGGGAGCAGCCTAGCATCTTGAGTCATAAGACGGTGCCTTACCGGCAAAGCCAGCACAGTTGACCAGCTTTGAACTGCCCATTGAAATGGTCGACCGAGTTCAAACTACTCCCTTTGCATTGTGAACACAATATTGCCCCTGCCAATTCATCAGTAGCATACAACATACACTTTTAATTGTAAAAATTGCTCTAAATAGGACTAAAACTTAGACAAAATGCACAAATAGCTCATCCTTGATTTTTTACCAAACGCTGAACTTTTAATTGCACGTTGTTTTGGTAACCCATTTTTTGGCTCATCCTTAATTGTTTTACCAAACGCTGAACTTTTATTATGTAATAGCTATAGTACATAAGCGAGGCATACTTTTCTGGTTAAACTCGCATAGAAAATAATTTACATATATTTTGTTCTTCATTTTAGTTATAATAATATATTTTTAACTTATAAAAAATATTTTATTAATAAAATATGATGGAATAAAGCAAAATGTCTCACTAAACTGTATGCGCTTCTTTGTTATGAAGCAGCAGTCAGTCCATGCAATTTTCGATGCGATTTTCACTATGGGTCATCCGGAAACAATCTCTATGTGCTTTAGTACAGGGGTAAGGCTTCGTACATCTGACCTCCTTACCGCACCGTAGGTGGGAGCCTTTGCGGCACTGGGATAATGATGATGAATTATGTCATTATTCCTCAAAATCTTTTGGGAATAAGGATTGAGCGTTGTTTTATTGTAATTTTGTCATTATTCACCAAATTCATATGCCGAAAATTATTCATATATGAGATATATGACTTCATGGAAACTTGAACTACATCAGACGAATACGAAAAAGAGGGGCGGGATCTAATCTACTGAGTTCAATTCCAAGCCACGAAAAATGCAGCCAACCCACTCACCATTTCCATCACAATCTGCACACACGATGCTCTTTGTTTTAGTTTCTTGATTATTGTGGGTGGCCTATAAATCCAAACACAATGTCAGTTTTCTTTTTGCCTAAGCATACGCAACCGAGAATGGGTAATATGTGTGCACTAAAGAGTTTCTCAGACAAAGATGAAGATGAAAAAAGTAGTTGAAGAGAAATACATTCAATAAAATCATCTCATAGAGTTTTGCATGCTTGGTCATTCCGAGTTTCATGATAATTTTTCTAAACCTAATTCTAAATTTATAATATTCAATAAAATATTAATATTTTTATAAAAATAACAAATCTAAACCAAAGCATAATGCGGGTTATGATTTTTATTTGATAATCATTCTTCATATCTGATTCAAATGGAACTGAACCGAAAACGAATAAAACTGGAATCCAAACCAAAGTGTACAACCCTAATTTACTTGACATAGAATTTGCTTGAAGAGGGTAGTGTTCCATGATGTGGAGGCTGATTTTAGTCATTTTTAAAAATCAACCTTGTAACTTTACATGTTATTATATATAACAGCAAAAATTAGGTAATGGGGGAAACCAAAGATGCAATTTAAAAACCTAATCTTACTGCCCTTACAATTCACAATGGTGGATCTCTAAACAACCCCTAGAGCACCATGAAGCTCAGGACACCCTAATGTTTATCAAAAACTACTCAGTACTTCTTCCAGCTCAGATATATTAAACATAAACTACTCCAAAAGCAAGCACATAGTTAAAATCAGCCCTCCAAAACATGAGGGGAAATGTGTTAAAACTACAAGATATTCAAACTTCATGTGATTAGTCCTCCACTAAAGAGTACTAATCACACTAAAGTAGTAAGCGTTTCACTAATGCAACATATGTCTGACTTAAGGTGAAGCAGTGTTGGTAATGGCGGAACTGAACAAAAAAACTGGGGGGGGGGGGGGGGGGTGCTTGTACCTTGGAAAGAGTGTTTCCGTCCAGGAGGCCATCACCGGAGAAGCCATCAACTGCTTTTAACCGGAGCTTGGGAGCGTTCAACGGTAAATCCTTATTAATGAGGAACACAGTCGATGGAAAAGCCCTGTGCTTCGAACCCCATAGATATTGCTGCAGAAACTGCCAATCAGAGGTAACGGAGAACAAATGCGAAGGAGAAGCCATTTTCAACATTTTTCCGCAGAACAAGTCGATTGAAATTTGGATAAGGTACTGACGCCCAATTAAATTTTGTGAAGGAATGTTTTGTTTTACGTAGATATTTATAGTTTCATCTACACATCAAGCAACATAGGATCCGTGGCGCAATGGTAGCGCGTCTGACTCCAGATCAGAAGGTTGCGTGTTCGATTCACGTCGGGTTCACATTTTGTTTGAAATATTTTTCTATAGGGGTGGGCGCGGTCTTATATTTGGCCGAACCCGTACCCGTATCGTTACTATTCAAACGGTTCGGTTCGGTCTTAGACCTAAACTCGTTCGGTACGGTTCCATTTTCAAACGGGACGGTACCATGACATACCAATGCCATTTTTTTCAAATGTTTAAGGGGAAATTAAAGTTTAGAAATTGTCCAAAAATCCACATAATTTATCAATTTTCATACTATCTCCGTCCCAAATTGATATGCAAAGTCATGCTTTAGCAATCCTTCAAAAATCCAAATAATTTATCGATAATTATTCAACCAATGTTAGAGTTAAATCCTCTTTATTGATAATTAATTCAATTTTTAGCAATTAAAATTTACATGTTCCGAAACTACATTAAATCTCTTCAAAGTTGCAGACTCCAAATTAAATATAATTAAAAATAGACATCCTAATTAAGTCATTAAAATGTAACTGTTTGACCAAGAAAAGTTGATTTTGAAAATCAATTTGGGACGGATGTAGGATTACATAATTAATAAATTTCAAATAAATTTATTACATCGGTGATCGGTCCGGTTCCACGCTTCATATGAACTAGCAAAGGCGGTGAAAGTGTGAAGGCATTAGTCAAAGTAATGGTATAAATGTAAATTTAAATAATAAAATCATACTTCGGTCCGGTTCGGTCCGGGTACCGGTTCTCATTTCATGAGAACCGGTCATGGCATTGTTTAGAACCGGTACAGTACGGTTCGGGATGAAAAATTTGAGATCCGTTTCAAACCCCATTTTTCGGTCCGGTGTCATATCAGTTCGGTTCGGTACCATGCCAGTTCGGTATTTTTGTCCACCCCTATTTTTCTATATATTGGCCTTTTTTATGTTTCCCAAATAAAATTTAGCCTCTTTTATATTCTTATAAGAACCTGAAATTCCTTAAATTATCTATAAGTTAGCCTTTTTTGCTCTTAAAAAATATATGGTTTCGGCACATTTTCTAAGAATCAAAGTAATAGAGGTAAGGATCATAGTTAGTTAAATACGGTACGGGAATTAAACGAGGTTTAATACGTACGTATTTTATTCAGTAACACGATTGAAAAAAACGGTCAAAAATTCGTTGAAAAATACGTTGACTTTTAAAAAACGTGTGAATACGTATACGTGTATAATACGGTATATGTTACAAAAATTCGGATAAAAAATACAGAGTATTATTTTGATCATTTAAAGTATATACTTCACAAAATAAGATATATAGTTGTTGAGGTTTATTCCTTCAACCCTTGGACCCAACACGTAAGCCCAAAGATTTCGAGTGGAGTGAGTGTATGGATATCTAGTCCAACAACCTTCAGATGGATCAGGAAACAAAAGAAATAGCAGGCAATGTAAATAGATATTATTAACTTCGTAATAACTCCCCTAAGTACAATCTACTTGCTAAAAAGGCACGTCGGCCGTTCGTCTTACAAGGCAGTTAGAAATGCTACCAGTAAGAATGCTGAAGCTAGTATGCTAAGAGTAGAAAGTTGCCAACCCTTTACAATGAAATAAATGCTACTATTTATACCCGCCAATGGGCAGTTAGCCCTGACGACGTGGAGGATTGTTAGTGGCTGCGGCCCAACCACCAAATCTTCAGCATTAAATGCGCTTCCCGCCAGAATCTGGGTTCCCCGCTTAATTCCTGACCATGATCGTCTGGTAGAACGGAGGGCCGTTCGTCTACGGCCCTTTGTAGCATGTAACAATCTTCTGGACCTGGGCCATCTACGGAGATGGGCCTCGGACGACGACGTTCGTCATGGATGTGCTAACCGACCCTCGGCCGGGACCTTGTGATGTTATCCCGGAGACAGACATTCGTCCTCATTCCTTTAGGCCAGGGCCACCCGTGGGCTAGGCGACGTATGTCGGTTTGGGGGTAATTGGGCCGAACCCCTGTTTGGGCCATTTACCCAACACAAGTCCCCCACTTCTGATGTTCCAAGCGCGCGTGGGACATAAGGAAGTATGCTGAGCCTCCTGGAGGATGCCCGTCTTCCGTACTTGCCTACTGGGAAATGGACGTACCTGATCGAAGGGCACCCCGAGTTGGGCGACTGCGGGTGAATCGAGGTGGCGGCTGGCGGCGAAACGGTGCGACTCCCGATGGGAAGTCATCATTACGCGTATCGCTTCCCCAGGTTGGATTCCCGCCAGGGTACGCTCCTCGCCACGTGTCGCTTCCTCATTCGTCCCCCCGGGGGTGCCTCCACTATAAATACCAGAAATCCCCTGATGTCTAGGGTTTCCGATTTCTGGCTTTTGCTTTCGAGTCCTCTTGCCGCTCTTCAGGTTTTCATCACAGCTTCCCAAGTTCATCTTCAAGTTTTCTCTAAGGTAATTATTCCTCTTCATCCTCGCCCTTTCTTTTAACGATGACTTCGATGGAAATCTGTAACACCGTCCCCAAATATATTTACTTTTATGTAAATAATGTATCGAACCTTATTAAAGGATTAATGAATTTACGAAGTTGTAAATTTTTATTATTTCTTTCGCGTGAATAGTAAATTGCACGTGGGACCCACACCGGGAGCGGGGCCGCCCGACACTCCCGAGACCACATATTTTATTCATCTTGGTCAAGATAATATTTACATAGTGGTGAGTATTTCATTTGGGTCGTGGCAAGGCGTAGGGTTGACCGATTGGGAAAAAGAGGCCCAATTACCGGTACCGACAATTTAACCGGTAACAGCCCGGAAATGAATTTCGGAGGCTTATAAATTAAAGTTGGGGAATGTATATTCATTATACATGTCATAATGAGTAAGAGCACTTAATATATTTTATTTGACCCGATAAAATAAAATATGATTAAAACAGCCCGAAAAATACAACTTTCGGGACCGATTGTACACGTCGGGACACAAAGGGATGACCTCCCACATGAGTGGGGGCCACCCCACGTTTTTGTGCTAGAGTAGGCAAGGATGGGCTGGAGTTGACTAAGGAAAGTGTGGAGGAGGAGGCTTGGGCATCAAAGGTACACCCAAAGGGGCCCTTTTCCTCACTCATTTGCTAAATGAGACAAAGAGAGCCATCCCCTCCCCTCCCTCACTCATTGGCTCGACCAAGCAACCAAGAATAGCAAGGGGGAGCTCTACAATTCACCATTTTCACACCCAAATTCGAGCTCAAGGAAGAAGGTCCAAAGAGGAGTGTTTGGAGAAGGAAAAAGGTTGGGAAAGGTGTGAACAATTAAGGTAATGACCTTATTATAACTTTTCCTTTATTTTTCTTCTACCATATAAGATATATATCATGTGAAGGATCCTTAAGAGGGTTCTACATGTTATAAGTATGGATTTATGGGTTGGGAAGTGATTCTATGTCCAAGAACGGACTTAAAAGTCAAAACGACCGGTTCACCGGAAAATAACCTTTTTGAGGTTATTTGTATTAACATGGGTTTTATGATTATAAAACCTTGTTAGGCACTTGTAAAGGGTATTTCAAGTGATTTCACAAAGTTGGAAAAGTCGCCGGAATTGTCGCCGGAGTTGACCAAAAGTCGCCGGAGTTTCACCGGAGTTCAACCAAGAAGGGTAGAACTTCTTAACGCTAGTTCAAGGTGAGTGGACGGCTTAATATCTTATAACTTTTGGGTCAATTATGAGATTACCTAAATAAATGTTATATGTGTTCATAATGATGTTCAAAAGATATTTAAACATGTGATTAGCTAACATAGTTAAGTGCGTATGAAAAGAATAATTGTTTATGCATGAAATATGATATGAGAAATTATATATAATGCATATTCGCTTTAAGAGTAAAAGATTCACAAGTGGATATTATTAACTTAATTATATGATGAATTAGTTAATAAGTGTAAGACTTGAGATGGCGGTCAACAACAACGTTGACCGATGGTTAATGGATTAATTAATATCGGTTGATATTAGTTAATTATACATTTATATGGTTGCATGGATTTGCATGGATTGTGATACATAAGTTTTATGTAGTGAATTAGTTATGAATGACTAAATATGATATAGACCCTATCTAGCGTGATATGTGGTAAGTCATAGGTCGGGTGGAGTACCCAAGGATCGGGCGGTTATCCTCAAAACTCGGTTATATAGGGTGGAGTACCCAAGGATCGGGCGGTTATCCTTAAAACTCGGTTATATAGGGTGGAGTACCCAAGGATCGGGCGGTTATCCTCAAAACTCGGTTATATAGGGTGGAGTACCCAAGGATCGGGCGGTTATCCTCAAAACTCAATTATAGGGTGGAGTACCCAAGGATCGGGCGTGTATCCTCAAAACTCATAGATTACATTTAATGATCTAGGACCGGGCGGTGTCCTTATGATAATTTATTTGAACAAGGAGGAGTTCTATACACTCATAGGTATATGGGTGGGTTGGGATTTAAGTCAAGGATATTGGCTACTATTATTTTCCCAAATAAACAATGACCTACGGGTCGGGTATTTCCAAGTGTATGTATACTAATATGTATTTCAAACTTGGGGGAAGGACTATACGTATATGTATCATCCTATGTTTGGGTCTTATACTTGAAACGCTAGTTATTCTATATTTAGCCTGCTACTCGCTCGGTACTTGTACTGACCCCTTCGGGGGGGCCCACCATTTTCAGGTTGAAGCTAGGGCTTACTACTTGCACCTCTCTTACGGGTGATATCGACTCAGGAAGACGTGGTTCGTGCTTCCTTATTTTCTTTCAAACTACCGAACACTTGCTCATGGATATTTGTTCTACTATAAACTATTTTTGGGGCTTGCATGCCCATGTTGTTGGCCGGTTGTGGCTTATGACTTACCG